ACTTGACCTTCCTTTTGTTTGAGAGTATTTGTTATTTTCCCTTGTTGGTTTTAAAGGGAATCTATCACTGCTGGAAATATATATATATATATATATATATTTTCAGGGGGCTTCAACAAATGGAAGTTGATCATTTTGGAGCACATGAACATGTTGCTGGCTTTTCTTCCCAGCTATCGACTCAGGAAGTGAGACCAGTCTGACACCCGTTTTGTTTTCTTTCTTTCGGGGGGTCGGAACACACCTTCTCCGGGCTGACATACTGCTCTGGGGCTAGCAAGCAACAACGAAAACAAATGTCAGAGTTTGTTTTTCTAAAACCGGGAGCCAAACAAGTAGCTGCCTGATTCATGTTGGTGTCCGTTTCAGCCCAAGAAACGTCATCGATCCTTTTCAGTCCAGGAACCAACGGCAAGCGGTTTGAGCAGTGGGATTCGAAGCGTGGCCCCACAGGGCGGATCGACAAACCGAGTCCTCGAAAAAATGACTGCCACTTGGGTCGGTCTGTTTTGAGGGTACTCCGTTTGGGTTGCTTTACAAGGGAAACCAAGAGGAAAACCGGTTGGCCATTTTGGGGTCCCCTCCAAAAAACGCATGCCCACTTGTGCCGGCATCACCTCTGAACTACTTTCGCGACCCGTCCTTCCCTTTGCTCAGGGACGAGTTGCCTCCACGGTTGCATCAGAGAGCCTATGACTTTGTGCTGAGGCCTCAGCGCGTGGACGTGGAAACGCCTCAGAGGATACTCAAATCTGAATCCCCTTGGTACCTTCTCAGCGTTGACCTCTTTTACCGGGCCCCGAAAAAGCAACAATTGGAGCAAGGTACGAGCAGTTCTGAGCACCAGAACTTGTCATTGGCAATGTAGCCTTCGCAGGGGAGCCTTTGTTGGAAGGTCGTTCGCACTTGTTTTCTCAACTTGGCTCTTATTGGTCTCATTCGAATCTCTAGCCTGTAATACAATATTTCAAATATGAGGAGCCAGAGAACTAATAAGTATCAGTGAGGGCCTTTGTCCCAAATAAATACGAACAGCGAAGTCTTTGGCTCCTGTCTCAAAAAGGTTGTGTGTTTTTGTTGGGGGAACTACAAGGGCTTAAATTACTTCACTTCGCACAATCCCCACCTAAGAAAAGTGCTTGGTTAAACTAGACTGCAGACGCACAGGCACCCAAAGTCAATCCGACCGTGTTTGCGTGGCCTCAAGCATGCAACAAGCTGATGCGAAGGCAAAACAACGACCAAATTGGAACCAAGGCAGCGTTGACCCCTAATCAATACTTACCTCTTAAAAACGCAACTTTTCAACTTTTTGGGTAACATGGGCTATATGTCTGTAAAAGATTAACTTCCCCAGGGCTTGGAGTTTTAAGGGGTAAGAATAGCAGCCTTGGCTATTACCGAAATCACTTTCATAAGCTCTGTCACAGTCTGTCACATCTATCGCAGGCTCTATCACATGCAGCTGTTTGTGACAGCTGTGTGTCACATCTGTGTGTGTCACATCTGTCTGCCACAGGCTCTGTCGATGGGCGGGCTGGTTGTGGAGGTCAGATGCCACTTGAAATGGGTGGGGAAAAACAAGGAGGTTTTTCGTTTTCTTTGGGGTACTCTAAAGACGTTTCAAGTGGAAGTTTCAGTCATACAAGATATAGTTTGGAGCATGCTTGTTTTACTGTGATGTTTCTTCCTTTCTCTTTCTCCCCTTTCTTTCGGTTTCTCACCCTCTTTCTCTTTTTGCATTATCTTAATTTTTATATTCCTCTTGATCTTGCCCCAATATGTAATTATTGATGCTTCTCTTTTTCCGTGTCTTTTTTTGTGTTGCTATTGGCCTGATATGTCTCTTTCCCTTTATCTTTGTTTTTTGTCGTCTTCTTCTTTCTTTGTTTCTCTATCTTCCTCTTTCCCTTTCTCTTTCTCCCTCTGTCCCTGCTTCTTCCCCTATCCCTTTCTCTTGTTCTTCTGTTTGTTCTTTCTTGCCCGAAACCTGATGTTTTTTTGGTTTGCTTGAGTCAACCATTGAGGGCATTGCTTCGGCGTGGTCCTTAAACAAATCCCAGAGCGAACTATTTGTCCAAAAAGACCCCCCCCCCCAGGCCCAAAGGATCATGTTCTCATCGGGCATTGTTTTCTCAGTGGTTCAAAGCCATCCATCCCCTTAGTTTTGTTCGGCGTTTAGGGATGAGTGGTGGTTTCCATTTTCCCACCATAGACGTTAGTCACTTTTAGCGGTGGATCTGAGGACTGGGGCAGTTTTGAATGAATGGCGGATGGCATTTCGATCACGCTCATCGCGCACGCCGAGGTACGTACCGTGGGCGACCAACGGCGCCTCCAATATAGGGCTTGCGTACCTTGGCCTGACTGGCGGTGAAGCCAAGAGAGGGCCACAAGGGGCAAAGAGCCAAGAACTTTGGTAGTGGTTGGTGGACATGAATCGCCAAGTACATGTCCACCATTTGGTCCCATGTTCTATCTTGCTACCCCCTCGGATGACTCGGATGGTATAGGATTCCAGACCTTGCCCCAAATCGACCCATCCATTTCTCCAACTCGGAGCGCGCACCGTGGGCGTTTTACCCGCCGAAAATCCACCCTAAACCCACCTAAACCAAACCTATACCAACCTTCACTCAACCCGCAGAAGGTCTTAGGATCGCCTAAGGGGCATTGGGCAGAGCTTCACCTGCGGGGACTGGAAGGGCTCTCGCACAGAGAAAAAGACATGGCATTTGAGGTGGGACAGCAAAACAAGTCCAAGGTACGGACCGCTTGTTTGATTCTCGACATGTGTTGGTTTCCTTGCTCAACGGAAGGCACGGTTGGTGGGAGGAATTTGGGTTTTGTGTGTGTGTGTGTGTTCTTGGTTTTGTTTTGTTTTTGGGGGGGCCAGGGGCTTTGGGGATCCGAGTCAGAAGGCGCGTCGCTCGAGGTTCGTCAACTTTGAGACGCATGACTACTGCAGGGCATTTCTGCAGTCGTTGCGGTTGCCTGTACATCAGAAGAAGCTAGTGGAGTGTCTCGGCGATAAATGCGGCTTTGGGTGTGTCTCAGTGTAAGCACCCTCCAAATAATACGAGTGTGCTTCAGACTTCCAAAGTCCCCCAAAATCATTCTAGATGCACAGGCCAAGCGGTTTCCCCTCGCACCTCAACTCCAGGCGTGTTAGGGGAGACACTTCGGAACCAAATCTAAGCCACTAACCCAATATCACACCGATACTTGGATGTTTGCTTTTCTACGAATTTCCGTGGGGGCTGGATGGGCCATTTGAGCTTTGAGAGCCTGTTTGGATCCCTTTCAAAAACTGCTAGTAACCCTTGGCCTGTTTCAACCAGCTTAAAGTGATGCACCAATTGCCATTGAGGGGGCAACCGTCATTCATCATTCCTAGTGTGCAAAGCCCGCTACCGGCATGATCGTTGCAGCCAAAATGGGGGTATCCTCGAAAGCCTGACAGCCCCACATGTTGGTTTGATTGAGTGACAAGGGGATGCTAAAGTGCTTTGAGTGATTTCGCAGGAGGCTTCACGCATGATGATGCCATCAGCGCTAGATGCATTTGCTTTCTTTGCCCAGTGTAGCTACAAACACTTGGGACTCTCCTTCAACACAAATAGTGGCTAGATGCCCCCCTTTCCTTCTGGCTTCCCTTTTTGAATGCTAACTCAAGAGGTGCCCACCATTTTGAGAAGCACTGACATCACTCTCCAATGTCCACCAAAGAATCCCTGAAGATTCACCGCATTGAAACAGCGAACGCCCTGCGTTCGAAAATCAGCTTTGCCGGCCGCTGGTGCTGAACGAATTGAATGAATGGCCCCAGTTGGAGGCAGTAAAGAAACACATGCGTTTGAAGAATAAGACCACTGGCTTTTCATTTGAGTGAAGCTTGGAAGTGGGGAGGGGATGTGACCACGGAAAGAAAGGATTGCATCAAGTCCGAGTCCTTCCTTGCGAGATAGGATTCGAGATGGGTGAAAGTAAACGGCACAATTTCATTTTCCCCTTTGTGTGGGTAGGTAAAGGGGACGATGAAACCAACATGAGTTGGACTTGTGCCATGTCAGCCATTGGGCAGCTCAGCCCGGCTTGCAATGTCAAAGCACGTCTCCACGCATGGCTCGGACTCGGTGACCCATTTCAGCCCTGGTCGTCTGGAGTGGGATCGAACAGCCGGTTCAAATCCCCAACTCCGCAATCCAAGCTACCAACTCGGGGTAAGATGGCGCCATTTGAAAAGTACCCAATTCGCCCATTGCTTTCAAAGAACGGCATGAGGATCTGGAACCGAAGCTAGCGCGAAGAATGCGACATGTGAGTTCCGTTTCCGAACCTGCGCAACACAATGTCGACCCGGAATGACTGAACCTCGTGGATAAAACAGGGGGGCTTCCACCCAAAAACATTTCCCCTCCAACATGGCCATGGGTTCCTATTCTCAATTTCTGAGTGGATGGCCACAAAAAGTCCAAATTGTCTATGTGCCTTGTCTTCCCAAAAAGTTCAAAGTCCAGGAACTCAGGAAGTGAGTAGTACCCAGAGCCCTAAGTGGGCTAAAGAGGGCAGCCTGAGGCCCTTCCCGCGCAGGTGTGCAAGCCACCAATTCCAAGACCTTCAAAATCAACCCCGGAACTCCTGCTGGCTTCTTCCCACCTTGGCGTCCCAAAAATAGAAAAATCGGCGGCTCGATATGGGTTTCGCCGGAGGTACGGTGTTCGTTCCGTTGGCCAAGCCTTCGTCCAGGGCCGAGGCGGGAGCCGAAAACCTTGGCCTTTGGCCGTGTGAGACATGAGCAGCTCTAAAAACCCCCCGTTACATGCCAAGCAAGAGTTGTGTCATAACAAGGCCCCGCGTAAGCAAAAGCCTGCACGGCGTAAGCGGGCGTAAGCACTTTTTGGGAAAACATGTTGCGTAAGCACCTGCGTAAGCTCTTCTTCGTGATTGCTTGGAAAGCTTTGTAAGCATGCTCGGAAGAGTTGTCCCACATGTGCTTATGCGTTTTTTGGTAGCTTGTGCTGTTGCAACCTAGCCGAGCTTGGCAACTTGCCCGGAGGACTTTGCCTGCAGGAAGACATCTAAGACCGCATGTGCGCACCATTAGGGGAAAAAAACAACAAGCAGAACTTTGATTGGGAGCTCTTGGGGCTCATGCTAGGTGCTGTCGCAACCTCCACTAGGACAAACAAAGGCTTCAGTAGCCGCTGATTAAAAAAAAATACAGGGGCGCGGGCGCGTAAGCTCGCGTAAGCAGGCGCGTAAGGTTCGCGTAAGCTCGCCTAGCTCAGCTGCCCGCTAGCCCTCGTGATGGATGCCGCTACCGCAAAAACCGGTTTCTTGATTTGCAGCAAAAACAACAACGCCAAGCTGCTGAAGCTCGCGAGCGCAGTTCTTCGTCATCTAGTCCACACAGTCATCCACATCATCTTCAACAGTTCTGGCGGCTGCACGGGAAAAGAAGCCCGCGTAAGCAATTCTTGAGGGGAAACGCTCAAAACGCCGACGCGTAAGCGATGCGTAAGCTTTACATGCTGTCTGACTGCCGCGTAAGCTAAAACATGGGTCGCGTAAGGAAAGCGCAAGCTTGCGCGTAAGCAACTTGATACGACATAGGGATTCATGGGAGGTTTATAGAGTCGCTCACATGTCGCCCACGGCGAAAGGGTTTTCGGGTGAAGAAAGAAAAACAGAAACTGAGGCCATATGGCCATGGGTCAAAATCCAAAAACGCCAGTACCCCCAGTGAACATCAACCAATCCCCACTAAAATAGGTTCTAAAATGGGTGGTGTACCGAAAACCCCAAAATGGTTCCATTGGTTTTGACCCACTGCCACGTCCCTCAGCGGGACGCGTCGCAGGATGGCTGGCTGGCATTGCATGGTCCGGAAGTTTGTGGCAGGTTGATTTGGGTGTGTCTTCAAATCGCTTCCCTTTGGTTTCCCTTTGAAGCAACCCGAAAAATATAATTACCTTGAAACAACCCATTTGGCTCAGTGATGATATATATATATATATGATATTAATATGTACTATATAATTATGATGCGAGAACATTGTCTTCCAATCCTAATTAAGTATCAGTGCATAGGACTCATTTTGGCTCTCCCTGGTACCTGAACTTGCAAAGCTGTCTGCTTTGCTGCTTCAGGTTCCCGATTTGTTTCCCCAATTCGACGTATTGCAACGGGGTCGAGTCGGGTCACACTCTCCGACCCCTTTCGCGGGGTGGGGTCTGCCAGGGGCGAATTTGTGCGCCATCCTGGCGAAGCGCGGCCGCGCTGGTTTTGCCGATCACGACGCGCCGTTGGTGTACAGTGGAGGTCCCTTGGAGAAGCTGGAGGGCTGGGGCTAGAATAATACAGGTAATGTTGACCCATGAATAAACCCGTCCCATTATTAGGAAGGTGCTCCCTCCAAAAGTGATGAATCCCACTAAAAGGGGACACCCCCCTATTAATCAACCAGGGGTTTATTAATCCGGGGTCAACATTAATCGGGCCAACTAAATATCCAAAGACCAAATAAATAGGGGTTCCCAAATCAAAAGGAGCACGCCCACACCCAAGGGTTCACTACTGCGGATGGACAAAATCCATTTCGCACCAGGGATTGGTGATTGAACCAGTTTTCATAGGGAACCCATCCGTCGCGAAAAGGACTTGGATCAGTAATCCTATCACGGGGCCTATGAACTTCCGGTTCTGTCGGGGATGGGAGCTAGGAGTCCTATGCTCCTGGTCCATCACGAGCCTTTGACAAGATTTATTTCGCGCCGCTGTGAAACTATGACTGAAACCACTGTTGCTCTTTACAGGGGAATCATCACTCCAGGCTTTCTTAGGTGGTGCGAAGTGGATTTCGTCCATGCGCAGTGTTTCACTAAGGCGCCGTGCAGATGGGATTTCCGACGTGAGTCGAAGCGGTTTTGACTCGTGGCCCGGAAGGGACTGTCCAATCCAATCCGGAATTCCAGGAATCCTTCTTTTCGGGACAAAGCACCCAGGGATTCTTGTTTTCATCAGCTTCTTGAGTCCAGAGTTGATGCCGGTTTATTCAAACCAACCATCTGAAGGCTTGGTAATTCGTGTTTTTGTGACGTTTTTTGTTAGGTATCCAATGCCAAAAGGACCGATCGGCGTAGCGAAAGGTAGGGTGGACTCTGGGTAGGCAAAACCTCAAAAGAAGACCGTGGCAGATATCTCTCGCGAGCCGCATAGAAGCGAAAAGCTGGCTTCTATCGGACAGACGGACATCTTGTCAGGTTGCTGCCAGCTTGTCCCTCTGGGCTGTTCATTTTGTCGGCCGAGTGGCAGGTTTGAATGCAGTGCTGTCTTCCTGAACAGTTTAATCCCTCGTTGATTTCGAGAAAAGCCGACGCAGCCGTCCTCATTGGGCACAGCTTCGCCTCATGGCACATATGCTTGGTAGGAACATCGAAAGGTTCAGGCCTTGTTGGTCCAAGTCAAGTCAAGTATGTGAGATATCGGATCTTGGTTTGAACTGAGGACAAGAGGTACCTTTGCACTTTGTCCTAGAGAACGAGGGCATGCATCAATGGCAGCGCTCCTCGGATTAGTTGAGTGGGGTGATTCCGGGACATGGTTGTCGGTGACAAAGTAGCAGGGATGGCCGCAGGGATGGCCATTTTGGTAGCACAAGGATTTTCTCCCGCTCTTGTGGAATTATTTAGATTTTGATCGGCAAACATATTAAGGTGATCACTAGATGTGCACCATGCGCCTTGGAGCCATATGAAAGGATTCCACAGCGCCTATGCAAGACCCCAGCATGTTTGCTTTCAGCCATTGGGCATTTGGAGTCACAGAAGCTTGCAAGCAATCGCATAAGTTCTTTGTGCGACCGCATCCTTTGTGTTGCCTCTCAATACGTCACAAGCCAGAAGATGATACGCGATGTCACTTAGTGTGGCTCACAGTCATGGTCTCACTCAACTTGCCGGGGATTTTCTATTGGCCGCTCTCTTGCTTTCATGCCAGAATACGGCGATCCGCCCGAAGGAAGCGAAACGGCAGATCTCAGAGCCCTAGGGCCAGGATGGCTCTGAAACATGCAGGAAAGTGGGGCCTTCAGAAACCCGTGGCTGGACTTGCTGGCCAAGAAGCGTGCCTTGTGTTCCCTTGTATTTTCGACCTGAGTGGGCCTTGCAGATCGAAGGAGCACACATTCACCTCTGCGCCTGGCGCGATCACCCGCAAAATCGTTGGTCTCCTTTAAAGGGTGCCCCTCAAAGGGTGCCCCTCAATACAAAACACACGGCCAGACAAAGAAGTTGCCTTGAAGGTCAGAGCGATCACATTCCCCTTTGAATCCTTCAGGAAGCGACCTGCGGTGAAATTTGCGACTCGCAAAAAATGCTTCACTTCAACGGCGTGATACTTGACCGTCCCACGCCTGATTCGATCCACGGCTTACGCGAGAGTGTCCTTAGACAGCCAAGAAGCATCAGCTTTTGCTTGACTGATTTGGCTGTGGCTCAAAAAACCGGTACCACAATGGGTTGCCCTGGTAAGTGGAAACATGGACCAAACCTGCGGTTGGCCCCCCCTGTTCAATTTTGAGCCCCACCCATTTGGTCCCGGACCCTAAAAGGTTGAGATCTGAGCGAGATGGTTTTTCCCACCCCCAGAAAAGAACAAGATCAGGACGAGATAGAAAAACCTCGCGTCAAGCGAGATGACGCGAGATCAATGTGATGCGCAGGCTGGCATGGCACGCAGCCGTTGCGGGGTGCGCAAACAGCAAGCCAATACTAGCCCAGAACGAGTGCAATGAGTATGAGTCCGTCCCCAGCCTGAGCAGCCAAAAGGTTGTGCTTTTTTTGAGCCAACACCAACAGCTGCTTCGATTTTGGTGTAAAACGACCAATTTGGATATTGCGGAAGACAAGGCAATCTGTACTTAGTCAGCTGCTCATATCATGCATGCAACCAACAAATATGATTGTCCGGCAGGGGAATCACCCTTAACAGGCAGGCCCTGGCGGGACATTTTGGCGTCCTTTTGCTCATGAGCTCGTGTGGAATCGGGGGGACCTTGTGTTGGTTTCCGGTCTCCCTTTCAGCCAAGCTGAAACCTCCTACTCCTACTACTCCTGCTGCATGCTGCTGCTGCTGCATGCTGCTGCTGCTGCTGCATGCTGCTGCTCCTACGAGTACTGATACGACTACTGGTAGCATGAGAACTAGGAGTCGGAGGGCCGGGTGTCAATTTTCAGCATTGGCCGGCGCCCAAGTGGCTAATTGCTTTGTGTTAAAATTGGAGCTTTGTGCTAAAATGGGATACGGAGCTCTCCAGAATAGATGGTTCCCGACCCCTCCGCCCCCCAACAAACAAAAAGAGCGGCGTCGTGGAGACTGCTTTTGGCAACCTCGGCGATCCGAGGTGAGGCAGAAGTGGCGCAACCGTCAGCTGCTGCCAAGGGTCTCTTGCCGGAAAGTTCATCCTGCTCATTGGGGGGTTCTCCAAAACAAAAGGTGTGGGTCAAAATTAAACCACCAGGAATTGGACCGCAGGATTTAGTCCATGTTTCCATCTACCAGGGTTCATTTTGGTTGGTTTCCCTTTTCTCCTCTTCAAGAACCAACCAACCGAGGCCCATCATCTTGAGAAACTCCTGTATAAATCGCAACTTACGTTGTAAACACACTCTTGTTTTTCCCCAACAGCTGAAAGCTTTGGGGTCTCAGCCCAGAGAGGCTCCGGGGTGGTCCGGGGCGGCCCTGAGGTCAGGTTCCACCAGGGTTCCACCAAAGTTCCACCAAGGTTCCACCAGGGTTCCACGAGGTTCTGCGAGGTCTGCATGGTGGTGCGAGCACTAGAAAGAGCACCGCATGCTGTTGGGGATATCACCTGAACCTTTTTTCAATAAAGCTCGCGTTTTGGTAGAACATGAGCTATTACTAAAAAGGTTTTGTGTAAGGCATATAAAGTTGACAGTGTTCCACCAAAAGACCCCCAAATCCAGTTTTGAGGGTGCTGGGGTGCATAAGGACCCCAAACCAAATCCAGTTTTGCTGGTCTAAAACTGGTTTGGGGGCAATTTGTGAGGGTCCCCCCTGGCTTGCGGGCACGCACTTTTTGAGGCTGCTTGCGGGCATCTTTCGCTGGTTTCCGCTGAAAGGACCCCAAACCAAATGCAGTTTTGCTGGTCTAAAACTGGGGGCACTTGTTGAGCGTCCCCCTTTGCTTGCGGGTATTTTTCCCTGGCTTCCCCCCAAATCCAGTTTCAGAGCCACTAGAGGGACCCCCAAGTCCAGCTTTGCTTTGGAAACCAGCGACAGATACCCGCAAGCAAAGGGGGACCCTCAAAAAGAGCCCCCAAACCAGCTTCAGGCCAAAGCAAAGCTGGATTTGGGGGTCCCTCTAGTGAAAACCAGCGAAAGATAAGCCCCCAAACTGGATTTGGCAAAGGGGGACCCTCAATGAGTGCCCTCAAACCAGGTTTAGACCAAAGCAAAGCTGGATTTGGAGGTCCTTTTAGTGGAAGCCAGTGAAAGATTTAGACATATTTAGACCAAAGCAAAGCTGGATTTGGGGGTCCCTCTAGTGAACACCAGCGAAAGATAAGCCCCCAAACTGGATTTGGCAAAGGGGGACCCTCAATGAGTGCCCTCAAACCAGGTTTAGACCAAAGCAAAGCTGGATTTGGAGGTCCTTTTAGTGGAAGCCAAAGCAAAGCTGGATTTGGGGTGCTTTTAGTGGAAGCCAGCGAAAGATACCCGCAAGCAAAGGAATCCCGTTTTGGTGGTTTTAAAATGGTTTTGTGGCACTTTTTGCCTGAGCATTGGGTTTCTTGTTACGCATGCGGCCAGAGTCTTGTTTTGCACGGCCAGTTTTGGCTCAGCTCTGCCCACGGCTTAGGCCCTTCTGCGGTTCAGCCTTTCTTGGAAGGCAAGCAGAACTAGCGGGGAGTGGTTCCCTTGGCACGTAACTTTTCGAGTCTGCCTTGTGATTTTCTGGGTGTATGCTCTATTGCAAGGCAACCAACCATGATTTCAAGTGCTTCGTGCGGCCTGTTTTGTCCTGATTTGCCCGTTCACATGCAACAGTCGGCACCCTCCGAATTGTCTACGTGCTCTAAGGCATACCGTCCAGAGCGCATGCAGCGCAGTGGCTGGGCAAGACAAGGGAGAAGGGCAAGTTGGACAAGTCGTCAGGTTCGCAGACCTTTTTTCTTTGGGGTAGCTCCTGGACCACCAACCAAAACAAGGGTGACCGTTTCCCCTGGCTGCGGGCTGCGGGTTGATCTTCCTTGGCAGCAATCAGAAGCGAATCCACACGAGTGCTCGGAGGTCGCTTTGGGATGGCTTCGGCCGGTCACACGGCAAAAATGATGCCAGGAAGCAAGCAGGACCCGGCCAGCCTTTCTGCCAGCCAGCAAAGAAAGAAGACCACCAGCAAGCAAGAGAGCCAGCAAGCAAGCACGCGAGGAACGCAGGCAAGCAAGAAAGCAAGCAAGCACACTATCAAGCAAGCACGCGAGCATGAGCAAGAAAGCACGCAAGCCAGAACGCAAGCAAGCAATCAAGCAAGCAAGAAAGCAAGAGCGCAAGAACGAAACACAAGAAAGCAAACGAGCAAGCAAACAAGCAAGACAACTAGCAACACAGAAGGCAAACAAGCTAGCAAGCAAGCAAGCAAGCAAGAAAGCAATGAAACAAGAACGCAGGAACGCGGCACGTGAGCCTGGAGGCATGCAAGCACGCACGCAAAGAAAGCAAGAACGCCACCAAATGAACCACAATCAAAACCCGGGTGTAGATGAACGGCCGCCTTCTTAATTCTTTACGTGGTTCTGGGTAGCCCATGTTGATACCGGGTTTTGATTATGACTCAACTTACGATGCAGGTATATGGTGTGAGCCCACAACGTGGGCGTGTCCTTTTTTGAGGGCTGGCATCTTGGGTAGGCTTGAATGGAAACCAAAGACGCCACCAGTTTGTGGCTCCCTGAGTTGGAGACGACAAGACAGTAGCAGCACTTGTCACGTCGATTCAAGTTTGCCTGAGAAACTGATTCTGGGGGTTCCCAGCCTCATTCTGGGGTCTCCCTTTCGTGTCCCTACACCCAAGAACAGGGTTCTTGAAAATGGCACGGATCAGAACCTTTCTGGTTCTCACTCGGCGATTCTCAGCCACCTGGTTCCTTACTTTTTCGGGTTTATATGTTGGTGGAGTGCTTAGACATGTCCATCTAAAAGTTGGGCCTGAAAACGAACAGCCCAGTGTAGAATCAGCCACCCTCAAAGGCTCACCCCAGCCCAGCCGGGCTCCCGGATACCGAAACTGAGGACGTACGGAGCTTCTTGTTTTCAAGGCAGGAGCGTTTCGGCACCGTTGGGCCGGACAGTTCGAAGGAAAAGAAGCGTGGGTGCGTCCCTTTTCGCGGGGGGGAGCCCACTTGGATGTTCAATGGAAATCAAAAGGAGACCAACCGTTTTGGGGAGCCCTGTAGAGAGAAAGCCATGTGTCCCTGCAAGCCCCCCAAGTGGTTGGGCTTGCTATTCCTCTTCCCTTTTAAACATCCAACCACCCGACCCAAATCAACCTAAATTGGTACACACTTGGTGGAAGCAATCGGCACCGGTTCACTGCCTGTTCAACGGGTCTGAAAATAGTGACCTGCGGGTTGTTTAGGGAAGTTGACAATTGTCTGCCAAATCTGTCGGGTGGGGTGAATCGCATGTTTGAATATGCCTCACAATCTCTGAATTCCGCTGCAACACTGGAGGCTTTGTACAGAACCGCTGTTGCCCCGACCGCGAGAGAGCGGAAATGGGCACTCACCGAAATTCTGGCCTTCCTGCCTAGCCGCCCCTTGGATGGCCTTTGATTTAATGGCCAGCCCAAAACGGGCTTCTGGTTCTAGGACCGACCAATGTCGTTCATGGCAACTCCGATCTGCAAGTACCACCATTTGGAGGCAAGCCTTCTCTCTCAAGTCGAGCAGCGTGGCCGCAAAGCGGGGCATTAGCAGTTAGGTCCCTTGAATGGATGCTGATTTCTTCTGATTTTTCCCAGTAAATGAAAAGGATCCATTCGGATGTTCCTAAAATGAACATTGTTTCTTCAGATTTTCCTAAAAATGTTTCTTCAGATGTTCCTCATCCATTCGGACGCACCCGCCTCCTTATTTTTTCTCTCGGCAAGGTCAGCCGCAGCAACAGGCCCAGGCTCGGGAGAATGCGAAGTGCCCCATGAAAAGTGATCTGCCCAAAGCGAATCCACCTTTTAACCTTTGGTTTCCCTTGGTCCATTTTGTCTTTTGGTTTCAACAAGTGGGTGTGGGTCAAAAATAGGTATACCCAGAAGGGAACCCTGGTAAACGGAAACATGGACCAAAACCTGCCGTCCCCTGATGGTTTAATTTGACCCATACCCAAGTCAACCTTTCCATTGCCAGGTCTGAACTGGGGCAAAAAACAAGCCTGAATCATAGAACCAAAGCTCCATGGGGTTTGGCCGCTGGACAAAAAGTCACTTGGTGGACTTGCCATGTGATTAAGCAGGCTTGGTTGCAACAACTGTGGTAAGCACCAGTTCCGGGGTCGCGGGAGACCAAATGGGTAGTCTTTTAACAAGTGTTGTTGCGTTTTCTTTTGTATTGAACATGTCAAGGCTCGGCGGAACCGCAAGCCGGAAGTTGTTTTGCTTTCAGGGTGTCCGCGGGCTTGAGATGGGAATTTCGACTCCAAATCTTTGCCAACTTCTCATTGAGACAGGATCCCAAAAGACCTCAAATAAATTCGGGTCTTGGGACCCTACAAAGAAGCGTTTGCTTCTCTTTGGTGAGCCGGCGCTCGGAAAACACGTGTAAGAAGTTGTTGTTTACCCGGTTGTAAGTGTACCCACTTTTGCAGGTCCCCCCGATTGCGACTTTGTTTTTTCACTGGTTTTGGACATGGGAACAAACACGAGGCATTGGAGGCTGGAACATGGCTGTGTCTGTTCGTTGGAGACTTCTTTGTTTGAGGTTGCTTAAGGAAATGTAAGGCATCTATGGGAAGGCCTGTTTGGGAAATTCACTCGCAATTTTAACGCCTCCGGCTCAGGCCGCCGATATTACAGGCCTGATTTGTTTTTTTGCGTTCCTTTGGAATTGTCCCCTTGCCCCCCTTCCCCTCCAAGATCTTCTCCCCCCCCGTCCTCCCCTGAGATCTTCTCCCCCTTTTCCTCCCTAAGATCTTTTTTTTTGTTCTCCCCTGAGATCTTCTCCCCCTTTTCCTCCCTAAGATCTTTGCCCCCCTTTCCCCCCTAAGGCCTTTTCCCGCCCGAGATCTTCTTCCTTTTTCTCCCTAAGATCTTTTCCCACTTTCCTTGTTGAGACCCTTTCCCCCCTTTGCCCCCGAAGGCCTTTTCCCCCCTGAGATCTTCTCCCTTTTCCTCCCAAACCTAAGATCATCTTAGCTCTTTTCCTCCTTTCCCTGTTGAGATCCTTTCCCTGCTTTCCCCCCTAAGGCCTTCCCCCCCCCCCGAGGTATTCTCCAATTTCCTCCCTAAGATCGTTTCCCCCCTTTCTCTGTTGAGATCCTTTCGGGGAATCGAATGTGTTTTTACGCTACTGTGTTTTGCACAGCACCCAGAAGGTGGAACGTATTGGAATCACCGCGTGGTCCCCCCTGGGGAGGAGTAAGGGGAGGGGTAACAGGGAAAGAGGTAAGGAGCATTTCTTATGTCCAACACGCCATCTGCTGCTGGCGGATATATAACGGTTGGAGACAATCGTGCTGGTTTGCTTCAGAACCGCCCCTCACCACAGCACGAATCCGACGGTCAATTTGCAGGCCCAAGTTTGTTGGAGACATACTGGCCCGCTAGGGCTCTGCGTCAACATCGGGCTTGCACAACTAATTAACCAACCGACTACCCAACGCTGACTAGCTAGCTAGCAGCCAGCTAGACAACTGATTCCTTAAGTGACTCACTCACTGACTGACTGACTGACTGACTGACTGACTGACTGACTGACTGACTGACTGACTGACTGACTGACTGACTGACTGACTGACTGACTGACTGACTGACTGTGACTGACTGCCTGCCTGACTGACTGACTGACTAACTGACCTAACTAAGTGACTAAGTGACTAACTAACTAACGGGCTAGCCAACTAGCAAGCAAACAACACCCCGCACACACAAACCAGCACATGCACACACACACACACAAACAGCAAAGGAGCAGCCAACCAGACCAACACGCATGCAAGCAAACAAACACGCAAAGAAGGAGCCATTACCCCAAGCAGACAAGCAACCACACACACACAGACACAAGTGAGCAAGCGAGCAAGGAACACAAGCAAGCTTTGCAACTGGTTGGTTTTGGTAAGAGCTCGTTGGGCATTCGCCGACACGTGGCTCAATTTCACGCGTGACACTGGCCTGGCACCAAGCTGAATGTTCCTTTGTGTGCGACTTGAGTAGTTGTATAGAGATCAACCTCTTATCATTCAGGAGAGCAAAGAGTCCTTGCGGCTTTGAGATCCTTTTGGCACGCCAGGCGCAGATGTGCCAGCAGATGTGCCCACAGATGCGCCAGGCGTTGCGCCAGAAACATGTCCAAGTCTTGGCACTGCCAAGGTGTGCTAAATGGCCCAGGAATTGTCCTTCTTTGATTATTTTTGTATCCTGGTGGAGTTGTTTGCGGCTTTGGGTGGCTTTTCTGGCTTTGGCTTTGTGCATCCTCAGCGTCACCAGCCACAACCCCACACGGCGAGCCCCTCTAACCCAGTTCGGTTTTGTGGTGAACTCACAAGGCAACCCCACAACGACCCCCAAAGAATTTTCGAAGCCCGCCCTAAAGCCACCTTTCGGCTTGTTGCCTCTTTTTCTTCTGACTTGTCTTCCGAAGGACTGTTTCGATGCAATGAAAAGGCTAGCGATCCGCATCATGTCCAAAATTCGTGCTTCGGCCCTTCCGAGGTGGGTTTCCGATGACTTCAACTTTGCGAGTAGCTCGTTGTAAATTTGTCCTGTTGTGTAATTATTTGTGTTCTTATCGGGGAGGGGCTGCGCCCCCCAACCCCCTTCTTTGTAGGACCTTGTTCCGCTTTGTGATGGCCTTAACAGGCAACACCAAGTCCCAACCCTCAACGAACCCGAAAGAAATCCAAACCCACCCTGAACCCCCCTTTCAGCTTGTTGTCGTAACTTGCCGCTACCTAAACTTACCCCAACCCAACCCTAAACCACCGCTACGCCAACCATAAACCAAACCCAAACCCACCCTTAACCCAATCCAAAGAAACCCAACAGAAGCCTTCTAAACCAGCGATAAACCAAATAAGCCAAACCTAAGCCCACTGTAAACCATCCCTAACAACCCACCCTACAGGCAAACCATACACCAACCCATCCAAACCAACCCTAAACCAACCCAGAACCCGCACTAAACTGGGGCTGGCTTTGAGAAATGTCCATGGGCCAGCGTTGATAAAAATCACTTGGCCGGTCTGGCTATTTTTGCAGCTTCTTGCGGGAAATTTGAATAAAATTGCCATTGGGCCAGCCGGCCTTGAGAGAATTGCCATTTGCTTTGATAAAATCGGCAATCCCTAAACCCACTAAAGCCAGCATACGCCACACCCAAACCCGCCCGAACTAATCCGTACTCCAAGCATTCAGCTGCCATCGGTGACTGGTTGTAGGCCTTGCAAAGGCCAGTCTGGGAAATAGAAGCAAAGTGTTCGCGAACTGTTCCTAAGCGCTTGTATCACTGGGATGATGACTCGCACCAACTTCAAGCAAAGGGGTGTTTCAACCATGACAAAATACAGTATCTCTATACCTTTAGAAGCTCAATATATAGCTAATCGGTTTTTGCGATTCCATCCCCCTCGCACCCCCCCACCCTAGCCCACCCCACCCTACCCCGCCCCAATAAACCAATGGATTGAATTGGCGAAGATTAGATATACCCTCCCAATCAACATGGATCCCTACCAGAGAACCCTGGAAGACAATTGTCCTTTTAAAGAATTAACCCTCTGCCAGGTTCCATGTTAATTGGTGGGAGAGTATATATAGGTATATATATTTGTACTCATTTGGACCCCAAACTTCAGCCACCCCAGCGATACCGATCGCCAGCCCACAGCCAGGGGCCGCTCCCACCGATGCGTGGGGCACCGTGTCAGGCGCCGATGATGCCGGCGGTGTGCCAGGAGCGATCTTTGACGTGCGCGGGCGAATCGCTGAGCCGCTTCTTTGTCGGCTTGGACCGTTCTGAGTGGTCAATAAATACACAGCTGGGACGTGTAAAAAAGCATGCCCAGCCGCTTCCTTACATGGATTTCGGAAGACCGTTCCAATGCCAGGTTTTGGTTGTGGCTCGTATGGGCCATGGGTAAATCGGGAAATTTGCTTTTGCTCTCAATTTCAGGGGATCCTCAGTTGCCCTTGTAGTAGGGAACCAGCCATGTTCCTTGTGGTCTTGACATGGTGGTTTGCTTGGTAACTTCTGTTTCTCTTGGTGGGTCACTTGTGGCCCAAAATGTGAGTCGAGAGATTTAATTTAGCGAGCCTTTTTTGAGACTCCTCCTCGTTCCAATGAGACACTCGAAGGACATCAACCACCTAAAGAAAATGTTATTTTGAGGAAACACCGTGAAAGGACCCCTTTACTTGCTTGCGGATGGTCATCCACCCCTGAATAGAGATTTTAAACAACCTGTGGGATCTCTCCAGCTCGCTAGGTGGGCCCCCAGTTGTGCCAATCACAGATGTGCCCTGCGCCGATGATTTCACTGCAGGCGCGCCCACATGTCCAAGTCTCGCCAGATTGGTTTGGTGCTGTTTGCTTTCCTTACCACAGGGGTTTTTCTGGGTCTGTTTGGCGGAACGTGGTTCCACTGGTGTCAGTTTGTTTCCAATCAAAGCGACATCCGATTTACCACGTGCGACAATGGCTGCCTCTCACAGCAGCAAGTGAATGTTGTTTGAGATCTGGGGGTGCAATGGGCTGGTTGGTAGCGGATCTGGAGGTTCCTCTGAAAAGGTTTGTGGCTGCGCAACATGTTGTGTCGTTAATTCGTGGATGCACGTGGGATATCTTAGTACGTGAGGGAACCATTGTGTGTGCGACGTACTTTCGCAAGCAACATGTTCTTGACTTGCTTTGGGTTACTTTGTACTCACGGGTCAATTACTTGTCCCTAGCAGACATCCAGCCGTATCCCCTTCCAGTCCCACTGCTTGGTGTATTGCTTTTCTGTCCTACATTTCAGAGGCGCTTGACTCAAGTGCAACTACCAGCGCAGGCATTCTCTTACGATAGGTAGGCACATGCCTTGTCACACACAAATCGCAGAGATTGTATTATATAGATGAGAGGCAGATGTGCTCATTGTGGCTCTGAGATTTGGATGGCGAACACCCTGCAAATTTGTCGGGCAGAAGTTCCGATGCAGGTCTTGCCTGAGGCGTCTGTTGAAATTCATAGCCACATCTCAGTGGTTCCCAATTACGACTTCCGGGGGGTGATGGGAGTTTCCCTCTGTAAGGGTGGCTTCCCCCTGACCTACAGGCAAGCCTGGGCTTCACGCAGCTCCCCGCGTCTTTTCGGCGCCTAGGCCCAGATGCAACAAGTGCAGCCGCCGCAGGCGGGTGGTTTGAGTCGCGAAGCTTCGCGAGAGAAGTCGGGATGGAATGCGCCAATCCGTGTTGGTATTCCATAGAAAAACCTAAAGACCGGTGGAATACCGTGGAATGGTGTTGGAGGAGTTAAAAAAAGAACTGCTTCAAAGTTGTTGGGGTGCCTTGGTCGATAGCACCTGGTTGGCACAAAAGCTCCGAGCCATTTGGAGAGATGTGATGGGGCCCAGCCCGACTAGGCACGTCTTACTTTCTCTAGCGATTCAAACCTCAAATCTTCGAAGACCTGCTTTGCACGCGCATGTCCAAGCGTCCCAGTCGATTCCACACCTTCATTTCAGATTTTGGATCGCTGGTGTTTGCTTGCACACCTTTTTGATCACTGCCATGCGATGCGTTGCATGCGCAAGGCCTACAGCCTCGCAGGCCAGGAATCGGGTTGCTCATTTCAGCACGAGCGGCTTTTGCAAATCCCAAACACGGCGCCTTGCGGGGAGCATATATAAACAGTATTCGCTTGATGCTTGTGAGTTGCTACCCAGATCTTCCAGATGCAGCGCAATTGTTTAAGTCCTTTCACGTCACGTCAGGTTCAACAAAGAATTTGCACTGATTCCAAACACGGAGCCCTATTCGGCCTATGATGTTAAAAAGGAATGGGAAATTGACCTTAGGGGGCCGATCCTCTGAGAAGCACCCTGCGAGATGCCAATTGGAACATGGCCTACCCCCACCAGGCCGCTACTTGGCATGCACCGCAATTGGCTTCAATTTGTTTGCGGATTCATTAGGGACATAGGGGAACTCACTCAATCTTCCACGAAAAAACAGGGGACTTAATTCTCCCACGTCTTGGACAAGTCATTTTGACCACGCCTCACCGAGTGTGCGTTCTGGGCTGTCCTACATGGGTGTACATAGCGGGAAAAGTAACTCGCGGCAAATCTGCTTTGATGAACTCTTGTCCAGAAAAAGGGAGCCCTTTTGGATGGAGGGGAAACCCTATCATTTCTCGGGTGTCTCAAACTTGTGCGGATGCCGGCACGCAGTTGTGCCAAGCGGACGTCACGTCACGGACCCGTCAAAATACCAGGATCGAACAAACCTCTTGACTGCTATTGGAATGGATCTTTAGGCTTTAACTTTTTGGGAATTCAAAGGGTTTTCCACTAAACCCCCAAAAAGTCAACCTTTTTGAGGGGGGTCAACAGCAACCAAGACATGGTGGTCCTTTTGGTTTCCCTTCAAGCCAACCTTAAAAGGGTAAAACTTTCAACCACAACCCGGTGAGCGTTTTCCTCCGATGTGTTGCAGATCGCCAAGCCGTCCGCTAAGGCCTCGTTGCCGAGTTTCGCACAGAGGACCACCTGGCACCTCTAAAGCGGAAGGCGCTTTCACATTTCGCGAATTCAGGCGCCAAGGCATTTTCGGAACTCTTCACTTCTGTGGATGAACAGAATTCTGCACCAGTGGTACTGGGATAAACCACCTCCTTACTGGTGCAGGATTTTGTCCATCCGCAGTATGTGTTTCTGTTGAGGGCACCTTTTGCTCTTCCCAAGCAGCGCCTACACTAAGGCGTTCATACGGTAGGTAGGAGTAAGGCAGGGTGCTCAATCAGGGCACTCGCTCCGGGCCAGTTGTTTCCTTTGCGCAGGCTCGACCCGAATGAGGTTCGTGTGCTTTTCGACTGCGCGGGCTCGCGCAAAGTGCGTGGCTGACTTTGGTGACTGAAACCAAAGATTCTCCTCAGCTAGTGTTTTGTTTGCTTCGTTTTTTGATTTTGAGTTTTTGGTTTTTGTCAAAGGTATGATTTTTGCCTTTGCTGAACACATTCATCAGCGCAGGCAACGACCTCAGTCTACATCAGGCTGCATCTCTTACCAAATTGGACTTTGAGCAAACCGTAAAATTGAAGAGGGGCAGGGTTGAACTAGAATTTCGACGTGAAGCAGAGTTTATCGGATGGCTGCAAATTCTTGACTCAAGCCCCATAAGGCTTCTTATAAGGCCCCTTACAAAGCTCCTTACAAGGTCCTTGCAAGGCTCTCTTTAGCTTTTCATGTGCACAGCTCCTTTTAGAGCTCGGCATAAACCTGGGAAAAACCTTACCAGGCTATTTTTGGAGGACCATTGTCATTGTGTAAAGTCCTTCAAGAGGCCTCGTACGAAGCTCCTTAAAAGATTCTGTAAACTTAAGTAGAGGTGAGTGGAATTTGATACCAGTGAAATATTACTATAAGTTCTGATATCAAATAGAATGGGGTGGATTCAAGTTTGCGTTATGATTAAAGTTTAATTGGAAGTTGAACAGAATATAAGGAGAAAGGATGAGGTAAGGTTCAGAAACGGTATTCCTCTTCAAGCATGACTTTGCTTGTGTAATAATTCCAGCAGGAATTAATTGGGCACAGGTTAATCTGAATTGAACATTTGCGGTTGTAACTCGAATATGAGTTCCTTCCCCAATTGAATTCGACTTCGAAATTGAGCGGAACTCACTAAGCAGACGGCATCTGTTTTAGACACGTAAATGTGCCACAAAACGGACAGAGGTGACACTTACTTGTTTGGCTTGCAGATGGAATATGACACCAAACAGTTAGCTTGTGTCCTCACACGGCATAGACACGAGAGTGACAACAACTTATGGGTGGGGCAATTACTTAGGAATTGGAGACGTGAAACAAGACACAGACAGAGGTGACTCTGACTTGTCTGACTTGCAGACGGAACACCGCACCTTGTGACACGCAGTTGACTCAAGTCTGCAGATGGAACAGGATCTATTTCGACACATGACGGTCAAGGGGCTTGCAGATGAGACAATTACTTTGGATTGAGAGATGTGATAGAACACAGACAGGGGTGACACAGAAAAGGTAGATCATACGGGGGGAGGGCTGCGCATATATGTGGCCTGAGGGTCGCCGCAAGAATATGCTGCTGCAAAACCAACCCCCGGTCAGCAGAAGCCAGCTTGTGGGAGTTTTGAAGCTTTCGAGTCAAGTTGAGTGCAACTTTCCAGCCGGATTTTTGCGAATGTTTGGCGCAAGATCCGCGAGAGTTTCGCGAAAGTCGACGGACCGCCCCGCCAGGTTCCGGACAGGAGGCCAATGGGTCCTCTCGTGTGCTGCCGCGCGGCTTGTGAGCTGGAGCTGTGGAAGCGCGCTTCGCGTGCTACTTTGAAACTGAAAGGTTCCGACTTTGGAGCTGGGGCTTCAGAAGTTTACTTACTTTGTGTACTACTTTCGTATCGAAAAGTTGCGACTTTCAAGCTGGGGCTGAAGTTTACCTTGCATATTGACTTTCGAGGCTACGGAATTTGGTTTTTGTACTACGCTCGTATTAAAAGTTGCGACGTTCAGAAGCTTACTTTTCGTACTACTTTCGTGCTGAAAAGCTGCTACTTTCGAGCTGCGGCAGCGAAAGTGTACTTCGTGTACCGTGTACTACTTTTGTGATGACTGTTCTGAAAACAGCCCCGCGAAAGTTCCGCGATTGGGTCCGCGAAAGTTTTTTTTTCTCGCGAAGATGGCGGTTTCCGGAACAAGGAGTTTCAGACCACCGTCAGATATATGTATATATATATATGTGTATCTAGATATATGTATAGATAGCAGATATTTGTATATAAGATACACCCGGAACCACACAAAAACAAGCTTGTTTATTTTGTTTTCAGATTTCCTGTTTATTTGGATATTCCAAGAACATGCTCCGGAATGCAACATATTATGTGTTTGCATTTGTCAACAGCCCTGATGGACAATTGTTGCGTTTTGCGGGGAAACAGACATCTGCGGAACTACAGGCAATATGCAGAAATCCGCGGAACCACCAAAACATAGTTCCAAACTTGTGCTGCTGGGACCATCGCGAAGAGGCATGATTCGAAAGCGGTTTCTGTCGGGAAAAAAAACGTGTTTTGACAGCGTTTTGTTTGTTTATTTGGGAATATGTGGGAAACTGGTTCTCCAGAGCTCCAAGTACATTAAAAACATATATGTGAATGTGATCAATGAAAACCAACGCGCTGAGATGAAACGCATCGAAAGGAGAGCCTCCGGGCCATGTATCGAGAAACAAGTACACTTTGTGACCCTTATGTTGTGAGACAATAGAGGTTTTGTGTGGCTTGTGAAACATGGGTGATCTATCCCCTCCATCTCAACGTCACCCCTTGTCTCAACGTGGCTACCCTTCACATGTTGTTTTTCTCTGTTGCTATTATTCCACTTGTCCATTCTGTTTTTGGAAGGCGACATGTCACTGCTTTCCACTGTCTTCACTTCCGATGCTGAGTGCTTTGTAGAAGATGTTTGACTTTCACAGAACCAGCACAGTAGAAGGGCAACCCATGTAGTGGTTACTTAAGGGGATTCTTCCCTTGCCTGCGAGTGTATTCGGGTGGGAGGAGCCATTCTTGGGAAGATTGATGGCAGTCGGTTCCAAGGAGTCTTTGAGATTTGTGTGCAAGACCGGTTGGGATGGGTTCAGGAACTTTGGGAGATGCTGTGGGCGCAGTTGCCGCGAGGAATGAACAGTTTTTGTTATTTGATGGTGTCATGGGCGTGAATCGGGTGCATTCAAAGCGATGTAGTGCTTTGGCTTTGTCAGATAGTCCGCATGAGTCAAGAGCTCCCAGGAAGGTTGACGAGCTTTTCACCCCCCATAGCCTCAGGCTGACCCAAGTCTCCAGTCGGTCACATCACCCGCAGGTCGAGGTTTAACCTCCTTTCTGTGTGAACAGCCGCGCGCTCCCAAGTTTTGAGTTCTGGGCCCTGAGCGAATTAATCACACTTGCCACTGCTGGTCTCCTGCGGAAACAGATGCCAAACTCTGCATGGGCCGCATGAAGTCATGCTACATGGCGCAGAGCGGAGTGATATGAATCACTTTACTTGGTGGTTCCCAGCCATCCGGTTCCTTAGCTTTTTAGCCTTTTAGTGTTTAGTGGTTGGACTCCGACTTAGCCCACTAAAAGAAAAACTTTTAGCGGGGGATCTGAGGGCAGCCCAGTTTATTCCAACATTGCCATAGCTGGTCTGCTACTGGATGTTGCCCCAGAACAAAGTGTTGCTGCGAGAGCAATGCACAAGAACTGTTTTCTTGGCATGTGTTCCGGAGCGCAGAGGGAAGCCAGGCAAACTTGCGCGGAAGAAAAACATCTGCAGCAAGCATTCAATTGTGCCCAATGTCGAGATTCGGGATCCGGATGCACCCGGAATGAACGCATCCGGGAATCGAGATTCTGGACTCGGGTTGTTTGCAAGTGGGGATGCGGAGTTTGGGGGACCTGGACACATTCTGCGGGAGAATCTCCGGATCACGTGAGCCATGCTCAAATCCCGGAAAGCTTCGGGGCGCCACAGCCAGAGGTGCGATTGGGACTCAGAGATCCACCCCTTCTTTTATGAGTTTTTTTTTGGGTAGTCGCATTTCATTCTCGAGATCCTAGGGAATATTCTTGCAAGGCTGAACCAGCGCTGGAATTCCCCCAAAGCTTGTGTCCACATTATTCTACATAGATGAGGCAATGCATCAACGTTCACCGGGTTTGTTGCTAACATTCAACCGGTTGACATCGTACTCCATTTTGCGATGTCAACCGACAACCGACGGGTAAGCCGACTGGGATTCAAGTGTGATCTTTACTCGCAGGAGCAAACATGCCCATGCTCAACCCCGGGCGAGCTGCCTGCAAAACGGTTTGCATCTTTGAAGCAGCACAACCTCAACAATGGACTTGGACGAATCCACAATCCATTTCACTCTGGTTTCAACTGCAGTTTGTGTGTCGGAAGCAAGGTTTTGCGGGCAGTTTTTGGGTTATGAACTGCGAGGCAAGCTGGGCACATTGCCAAGACCACACCGGTCCCATCAATCAGTGGCCCGATGCGCGGATTTGGATCGCTTCTGAAAAAAATCAACGAACCATGATCCGAATCTGGGGGGTACAGATGGCGGCCTCTGACCCCGTTTTGGGCCCGTTTTGGCAAGATGGAAGTCAGACCTCTTCGCCTTAGGGTACGGCCAAGTCGGCCAGTCCTGCGATGCCGAGGTAAGCCTCACTCGATCCATCCGATGACTTTTGTTGAGTAAAGTATGCGATGGGGATGTGTCAACATGTGCAAATCACGAGATCGTGGAATTGCCCATGGTTTTACCCGAGCAAATCAAGCTCAAAAAGCTCAAAGACGGCATATGGGCGGTTTTTTTTAAGGCCGCCACCCCCCTCCCGCCACACTGGTGGTTGTTTTTCTGGGTGTCCCTTGAAGATCACCCAAAGCAAGCCACCCAGGTTCAAACCCTCGCATGGCCATCGGATCGAGGCATCGTGGTGTGGTTCTCCGAGAGTCCACAGGTTTCTGCTGACG